ATATATATATATATATATATATATATATATATATATATATATATATATACACACATTCGGACCTCTATTTAACGAAGTCACTAAACCCCGGGAAAAAAATGCGTTATATGGAAAATTCGTTATATAGAGGTTCATCTATCAATATACTTTATAAACTGCATAAAATAAATTTTAAATTCATTAACAATATATATTGAAAAAAAGTAATTATTCACACCTTTTTGTAGATTAATAGCTATTTATTTTATATATATCTTAATTATGAAAGAAAAAAAAAATTGCAAGGGAAACAAGAAAAAAGAATTTCGAGGAATACACTGTATTTTCAACCTTAGTAAAATAAGTATATATTAAAATTAACGAATTTTAAAGATATTTCCCCCAATTTAATGTACACAAGTAATTTTAAGCATACATTATTTTATAATTAGAAATTCTAAACATACATTACCACTTGCATCCTTGAATTTAATTACTCTAAAAAACTGTTATTTTTGTTTGAGTTATATGTTTTAAAAAATGCTTTGATGCATGCTTCTAGTAAACTGGAAAATGGAGATCAAAGGATGCAACGCCCACAATTACATCGCTCTCGGCGAGTTAGGCACCTGATAAAACCAGTTCAAGATTTATGGTCACCATAAAGCGTGTTAAAAGAGAGAATAATTTGAAATGTCCAGAAATACTTCGAAAATAGGGAGGAAAAAAATCGAGTCACAAGGGAAAAAGTTCGTTATACAGAAAATGCACTTCGCTATTGGGAGGATATTTTACAAAGAAAATCGCGAAATGTTCGTTCCAGGAAAATTTCGCTATATAGAAAAATTCGCAATATAGAGATTCGTAACATGGAGGTTCGACTGTATATATATAGAAGGAGACAGTGAACTAATAGTAGAAATTGAAAAAAAAAGTATTCATTTATACGTGTTTTCAAAACTATAGTTTCGAACTATCACCTTATATCTGTAGGGAGTTTAAGAATGTATGAATTTAATATAGAAAATTTCGCGGATAACTGTCTGTTAAATGACTACATTTCTTCCAAGTTCACTAGGTAATCACTCTTATTATTTAAAAAAACAATTAAAGATTTTAAAAAATATCGACATTTATTTACATTTAAGTTTAAATTAATAATCAATAATATTTCTTATAGAATTCAAGTATGCGTGCGAGTCTTATTCGTAAATTATATCTATGGTTCATTGATATTAAAATTATACACTCTCCTCCCTATCCCCATCTTTTACAATGAATACATATTATTCGGGAATATGAATAGGCATCTAGAATATTCCGTTACGTATCTCATTGAACTGAAGAACATAGTCAAAATATTAGTCTGGGTTTATTCACCGAATTCGGGTTCCTAAACAGTGGTTTATTCCAATTCGGACCTCATTCACCCGAAGAATTAATTCCCTGCTGCCAGCAGCTGGGATTTAATGGAAAGGTCCATTAAAAATGGCGGGGGTGAGAAGAGTAACAAACAGGAAACAAGCAACCGGACGATACGGGGAAAAGCAATTATTATACAAATTTCCTGTTGGCAGTTCCACAATGACTTTTTCCATATTTGGTCGACTCTGTCACGTCTCCTTTTTAATTTCCTCCCTAAAGCGTGTCTCCTGTCTCTTACAGATACTATGGGGGTGGTGAAAGGAGTGTTGGGATTCGTCTCTGATAGATGGGGTTCTGGTGTATGAGCTCGGATATGCATAACGGAAGCCTATGTAGATTGTTTATTTATGATAGCGATGAGTTGGGGAGAAAAAGTGTATGAAAAATCGTGCTATGGAATGTTTCAAAAATACAGGGTGGCTCGTGGGAATTTCCTGTATTGAAAATGCAATAAAACACACTGTGACGGCTCTATCCGCCGCTGACCAAGCATCTTGGGGAATCTTTGGTCCTTAAAAACTATTTTATTTGAACGCTCCCTCTGAAGAAGAGAACGTGAACATGCAAATTAACCCTTTATCTGCCGATGGTACTTATAAGTACCACTCACTTTAAAATAACATTGAATAACCAATTTTACTAATATTCTTAGCAGGAATATTCTTTGAAATCCACTCTTCCAAGATATATGGCAGCATGGGTTCTATGAAAGCTGGAAAAGCGAATAGTTTTACTGCAGAATTTGCGTTTTCAGCTGACGGCGTTTTCAGCGGATTGCGAAGATTATCATTTTTGTCACGAAAAAATAGT